TTAAACCTAGGCCACTCTACTGAAGTTCTAAAGACACTGTTTCTTCTCATCTAGGTTGGTACAAGATTAATATAATCTACTAAATAGTTGAAGAGTGACCCGTAAATATCTCTACTGGCATTCTTTAACTTAAGCACTTCAAAGCTATGGGAAACTTTGCCCAATTACATTTATTTATTTTTAAAATTTTTACTCATTTTTACTCATTCATGGGCAAACAGTATGGAATAATCAATTTTTATTTGGTGGCATATATATACGTCACTCATTTTAAATCCACCACAAAGTATTTTGATTGTAATTCATTATTCATGAGTTCTTTATTTTCTTTTATGTTTATTTATTTATTTTGAGAGAGAGAGAGAGAGAGAGAGAATCCCAAGCAAGCTCTGTGTGGTCAGAACGGAGCCTGATGCGAGGCTTCACCCATGAACCTTGAGATTATGACCTGAGCTGAAATTAAGAGTCCATTGCTCAGCCACCCAAGCCACTCAGGTGCCCCTAGGTGCTTTCTTTAAAGGAAAAAAGTTTAAGGAGTCTTTAAGGGAGGTAATGGAACTTTTCAGTAAGCAAGCATTAGACTTACTGATGATCAGTCACTAACATGATAAAATGAAAGATAAAATAAAATAAACACATATTCCTCAGGGCAAAATAGTGATATGTGGCCCATGGCATTCACCTGTAACAAGGTAATCCCTATTATTTCCAAATTGCATTCTTTTTTTGTTGTTGTTTGTTTTGTTTTGTTTTTTAATTTCTAGGAGAGAGAGAGAGAGACAGCGTGAGCAGGGGAGGGTCAGAGAGAGAGGGAGTCACAGACTGAAACAGGCTCCAGGCTCTGAGCTGGCAGTCAGCACAGAGCCTGACGCGGGGCTCGAACCCACGAACCGCGAGATCATGACCTAAGCGAAAGTCGGACGCTTAACCGACTAAGCCACCCAGGCGTCCCCCATATTTCCAAATTGCATTCTTTTTTTTTTTTTTAATTTTTTTAATGTTTTTATTTATTTCTAGGAGAGAGAGAGACAGTGTGAGCAGAGGAGGGTCAGAGAGAGAGGGAGTCACAGACTGAAACAGGCTCCAAGCTCTGAGCTGGCAGTCAGCACAGAGCCCGACGCGGGGCTTGAACCCACAAACCGCGAGATCATGACCTAAGCGAAAGTCGGACGCTTAACCGACTAAGCCACCCAGGCGTCCCCCAAATTGCATTCTTAAAGAAAGAAAAAGCTGTTAGGACAGAAACACCACTCAGACTAGCTTATGCAATGAAGAGTTATTGGGAACAATGCTGGAACGAGCTTTAAATAAATGAAATAGAGGTTCTAATTATGTTCCCAGGACCCTTTCATCTCTCCTGACTTTGATTCTCTCTTTCTGTGGATCCTCTTCTAATGTAGGTGGGCTTTCCTTCAAGTGGTAGTAATGGTGGAAGGTAAAGTGACAGCTTCAGAATTATGTCGTTCCGAAAGGAAGTGAGGAAACACTCCCAGAGGCCTTCCACGTTAAGGTAGTCCTGTAACTTATTCACTCTTCATTAAATCAATTCTTTCTTTTATACCCTTTTTCATAAGTTATCTCATTTGTTTGCTTACCAGCTTGTTTTTCCTCTCCACCACAAGATGAAATCTATTAAACGCAAGAATGGTGCCTATTTTGTTAACCTCAGCATCCAATAGGCACTTAGGAAATAGCAAGAAAACAAATAATGTCAAACCTTGGTTTACAAGCATAATTTGTTCCAGGAACATGCTTGTAATTCAAAGCACTGGTATATCAAAGTGAATTTCAGAACCATTGGCTCAGTTGTGATCATGTGGTGTTTGGCGCCTCATATTACTTGTATTGCAAGACATCATTCGTTTATTAAGTTAAAATTTGTTAGGCATGTTTACTCGTCTTGTGGAACACTTGCAGAACAAGTTACTTTCAACCCAAGGTTTTACTTGTACATGAAATTCCAGGAGAGGAATTAGGTTGTGCTAACACCAATTGTCATATGATCTGGAGGAAAGGATACTGTTGACTGATAAACCTACCAGGACTGCATGGAATAGAGGAAGAATGGTTTCATGTAGGAAATGGATATTTGTATAAATTTTTATTTCATTTTATTTTATTATATTATTTCTTTTAATGTTTATTTTTGAGAGTGAGAACGGGGGAGGGGCAGAGAGAGAGGGAGACACAGAATCCAAAGCAGGCTTCAGACTCTGAGCTGTCATCACACGAAGCTCGAACTTGTGAACCACAAGATCATGACCTGAGCTAAAGTCGGATGCTTAACCGATTGAGCCACCCAGGTGCCCTATACATTTTTATTTTCTAAAGTGATCTCTATATCCAATGTGGGGCTTGAACTCACGACCCAAGATTAAGAGTCTCATGCTCTACTGACTGAGCCAACCAGGTGCCCCTGAAGTTTGTAGAGGGCCTCCTGGAAAAATTAGCCTTGTGAACGGATCCTTGGGCTGGATTTCAGCCCTATTCTATGATCTCTGTCAACAGAGGCCCTGATGAGTATCCATCTCTCCATCTCAGTTTCTGAATACCTTATGCAGAAGTAAGACTACTAGGAACAAAAGTATGAGCTGGTCAAGTCCTTGCATCTGGATCACTCTTGGCCAATGCTGTGTTGACTATGTGCTTAGCCATGCCCTGTAAATATTCTAATAGAGATGTATTGAGAAATTTCTCTTTTTCCACTCCCTTCCCTCCCCTTTATTTTTCTATCTAGTGATAATTGGTCAAGTTTCCTGAGGAAACATTTTGAGTTTTCTGAACTTTAGGGTGGCTGGATGGTGCATGCTGTCATCCTTCTTTCTGGTTTATTTACATTTCTCTGCATTTCTGTTTTGATCAACCTGATAATTTTACTTCAAAAGAAAGAAGAAACTGCCTATATACATCATAGGCCCTTCAGTAGAATAGATTTTTCTTAAGGCTCAGTCCCTTTGAGGTTTGTTTTGTATTTTATTTACTTGAAGATCTCTTTGAAGCAGTGAAATGCTCACTCTTTAAAACGTGGCAAGGACACCTGGGTGGCTCAGTCACTTAAGCATCCAACTCTTGATTTCGGCTCAGGTCCTGGTCTCATGGTTTGTGAGATGGGCCCTGCATTGGACTCTGTGCTGACAGCATGGAGCCTGCTTGGGATTCTCTCTCTCTCTCTCTCTCTCTCTCTCTCTTTCTCAAAATAAATAAATACATATTTAAAAAATAGAAGGGGGCAATTAGGTTGAAGGAACAGAAACTCACTCAGTCTACTCATATATAAGGCTGCTGGGATCTCGTAAGTTCCAGAAGTATATAGCTCAGCATCTTGACAGGGAGGGTTCTCAGGCAGCTGTTCTGGCTGTCTTTCTCTTTCTGGGACTACTTGGTTTCTCCTCTGCTTTACTCTGGACATTGGTTCCATTCATCTCATTTTTTTAAAAACATTGCCTTTGTCTATGCTGATGAACCTGCGAGTGGAAAAAGAAGATGGCAGCTAGTACTAAATCTACTCATTGGATTCTCAGAACAAGTCCACATGGAGTCCACACTGTAATCCCTTTGGGAGCTTAAAAAGAAAGATATACAGGCCTCAAAACATAGATTTTCTGAGTCAGTAGGTCTGGAGTCCTAGACTCTATTTGAAAATTTTCCTCAGTAGGAATCCCAAGAGCCCTCCACACTCACAACGGGGAAGGAAGAAAAGTGAATGAAGAACAGATGAGACAGGCTCTTGCTTGTCCCCTACATAGCTCCTTCTCTTTTTCTGTTTGCCATTCTTTGCTGTTGATCTTCCTATCCAAGGAGAGGAGATAGATATTCTAAGGAATTGAAAACAAATATTGAAGGATATAACAGTTTTCATTAAAAGCAGCAGTGCTGGCAACAATCATTCTTAGCCTCACTCGGTGCGTGGGCAGTGGGGTCATCTATCTCTTACCAAATAAGTGCCAATTTCTTGATTGCGGATGCTCTTGGAAGTGTCAGGCAGGCCTGAGTGTTCCTGACCTGAGGCCTTCAGACCCACTGCAGTACATCTCTCTGAAAGCCTCTGTGGCGATGGTAGCAGCTGTTCAAATATGCTCTCTATGTTGGCAGGTGGCGTAGGAACGTGCAGCTTAGTGCCCGTCACTCGCAAACTAGCTACAGTATGTGTCTGTGTCTCCTAGTTCAGTATTTAGATAGAATTTTTTCACTGGCCGGCCTCTCAGGGGCATACTCTGGGCAGTCTACAGAGAGCAGACTTTGAGAAGAACATTCAGTTTTAAGTGCATTACAAGCTTTCTTTTGGTAGGCTTGCAAAGTAAAGCTTTTAGTATCCCTTTTCATTTTGGTTACTTTATAGATAACAGGGATTATATTTCTAAGTGAATTATAATGAATTTTTTATATGTCATAGCTACAAATATGACTCTAACCTAATTTTTTATGTGATAAATAAATGCCCTGGACCTTATTTAGTATATTTACCAAATGTTTTTATGGCAGAATTATCATTGTCTCCTCACATGTAATAAAAATAAAATTTTAATAAAATATATATTATTCAAGTTGTAAGTAAAGTAACATGGCTTAGTTTTTAATACATTTAAAATATAATGCCATATACTTTGCTTTTTATTATGTACTGACATACGTAAAGAGTTGTAGCCATTTGATTCTGAGACCTCCCGATAGTGACAGAAGCCATCACTTTATTTAATAAATTTGTCCACTGTTGGACTTCAGGGACATGTGATGACTTTACATAGGTATCAGTTACATTAAGTATGCAAAGAAAAACACTTTTGAGAAAGGTTGGGCACAATAGCCCCATACCTTATTTCTGTGTGCAAAGTAACTATATGCTCAAACAGGTATGTGTTAGGCTCATACTCTAGGCTCATAGAGTGTAGTGCCCCTATGCCTTAGGGTTGGTTTAAGAACATAAGTGTTTTCTATGAGAATCTTAAGTATCAAGATAGTTAATCTGATTTTTAAAAATGATTTTGTTTTCTTCTTTTCAGATCCAACCCTCTGTGGAACTTCTAAACATGTTTTATTTGTAGAAACATTATTTTCTACAAAATGAAGTCAGCACATTAATTGAAACCAGCATTTGTGTGGTTCTGACTCACCTGCTATGGTTCATGAAGCTTGAGATCTAAGGAGTACAGGGTCTTTTGCGATGACAATATGACTAATAGTAAAGGAAGATCTATTACCAGTAACACAAGTAGTGGTCCAAGTAGTGGAGGAGGTTTCGTAGACTGGACTTTAAGCTTAAATACGATTCAGTCTGATAAGTTTTTAAACTTACTGTTGAGTATGGTTCCAGTAATTTACCAGAAAAACCAGGAAGAGAGGCACAAAAAAGCAAATGGCATTTGGCAAGATGGATTATCCACTGCAGCACAGACTTTTACTAATCGATCTGAGCAGCACATGGAGTATCACAGTTTCTCAGAGCAGTCTTTTCATGGCAACAGTGGGCACACAGCATCAGGCTGCAGCCCCAAGTACGATGACTATGCCGGCTACAACTACTGTGACGGAAGGGACGCTGCAGAAACAGCTGCCATGTTACAGAATGAAGACGTGTCTAGCGATGGGGATGAAGATGCCGTTGTGGAAGTAAACCAGAAGTCACCCAAGGAGTCCAGTGGCGTCATGGCACTGCAGATACTTGTGCCATTTTTGCTAGCCGGTTTTGGGACAGTTTCAGCTGGCATGGTTTTGGACATAGTCCAGGTGGGTTTATCTCTTTGTTTACCTTCACTGCCTTTGTCGTTTTAAGTGCCTTAGGTGGGTTACTCATCACAAACATTTACTTTAGATTTAATTTATCCCTTAGTGAAAGGAACCCATGCTGGCTCGCACAGGGAGTCTGCTATTTCTAGGTGTGTTTGTTTTCCTTGAGAAGTTCTAAGAGAATGGTCTCATTTTGACTTTAAATAAACTCTTCGTAAAGTATTACAGTAATAAAGCAACCCCAAAATGGATAAATCAATTAAAGGCAAAACCCAATAAGTGTTATATTTAAATACTTCTTTTTGTTTTTTAGATAAAAACATATACTTGTTAAAATGCATTAAAACCATGCAGGGTATTAAATACAAGGTAAAAAGTCTTCCCTGTTCTTCCTCCTCGGAGGTTCCCTCCCTTCCCCTCCAGAGGCTGCCATTGTTAACAGTTGGTTGTGTTTACCTGCCGAGTGTTTTTTATGCTTTCATAATACATATGCACAGTTTCATTTTCAGAAATAAAAATGAAGTGCCATATATAGCTGCAAGTTATTTTCGTTGCTTCATAATACATCTTAGATTTTTTTCCAAACTAGTAACAAAGATACTCTGCATTTTAAAATGAGAGCTTGATATTCCATTGTATGTACATACCAAAGTTTACTTATTCACTCTCCCATGCTGGTGTTATAATGACTATGCTTAGAAATATATTTACACTATTTTCGTAGGTTAGGTTTTTAAAATGGGATTGCTGGGGATTAGGGTAGGTGTATAATGTTTAAAATTTATTAGAAACTGTCTGATTGACTTTCAAAACACTTGTACCAGTATATAATCCTGTCAATATATAAGTACTTTTATTTTTCTACGTCCGTATCAATCCATGTTAAATATTTTGATCCTTTTCATTTTTGGCAACTGATATATCGGAAAATGTTTTCATATTTTAATTAACAGCCTTTTAAAAAATTAAGTCTTTAATTATTATTAATGTTTAGCATGTTTTCATATGTCTGTTGACCATTCTTAGTTCTTCTGTGAATATTTCTTATATGAATTACTTTTATGTATGTGAGTCATTTTAAAAATGTATATGCTACTTATTGTTTTTAGGAGTCCTTAATGTAGTGTGGTTACAGAATTACCTATTATTATCATTATATTTCTAAAGTAATAAGTTGTTAAAATGTGGCATTCTCTTACTATCAGTTTTCATTTATCAGTCAGAGAAAGAGTCACATGCCTTTGTCCTTCATTGCTTCCTCCCTAAAAGAAATTTCAGGTCATTTGTGAAACTAAAAAGCTTTTCAACAGATAATATATATATTTTTTTAATGTTTTATTTATTTCTGAGAGAGAGACAGAGACAGCGTGAGCAGGGGAGGGTCAGAGAGAGAGAGAGGAGAGATACAGAATCAGAAGCAAGCTTCAGGCTCTGAGCTAGCTGTCAACACAGAGCCTCATGTGGGGCTCGAACCCACGAACGTGTGATCATGACCTGAGCCGAAGTCGAACGATCAACTGACTGAGCCACTCAGGCACCCCTCAACAGATAATATTTTCATCTAAATAGTAAACACATACACGAATAAGAACATAATTTCCACCATCGGTTGGATAAAGGATATAAAAACTATGTTAAGTATATTAAATTTTTAAGGAATCAGACAAGAAAAAGAAATGTAAAACTTTCACTATTTGAAGATGACATGATACCATATATAGAAAACCCTTAAGACTCCACCAAAACTTCTAGTACTGATAAAGAAATTCAGTAAAGTCACAGGATACAAAGTTCATATACAGAAACCTATTGCATTTCTATATATTAATAATGAAATAGCAGAAAGAGAAATTAAGAAAAATAATCCCATTACAATTGTACCAAAAGTAAGAAAATACCTATTATTAGATAACCAAGGAGGTGAAAGACCTGTACTCTGAAAACTATAAAACACTGATGAAAGAAATTGAAGATGACACAAACAAATGGAAAGATAGATCATGCTCATGAATTGGGAGAACCAATATTGTTAAAGTGTCCATACTACCTGAAACAACCTATAAATCTTATGCAATCCCTATCAAAATAACAACAGCATTTTTCAGAGAACTAGAACAAATAATACTTAAATTTTTGTGGAAACACAAAGACTCTAAATAGCCAAAAATCTTGAAAAAGAAGAGCAAAGCTGGTAGGCATCACAATCTCAAATTTTAAGACATACTACAAAGCTGTAGTAATCAAAATGGAGCAATTGGCTGGCTCATTTGGTAGAGCATGTGACTCTTGATCTTGGGATTGTGACGTCAAGCCCCACACTGGTCATAGAGTTTACTTAGAAAGAAAGAAAGAAAGAAAACCAGAATGGTACTGGTACAAAAAGAGACATGTACATCAATGGAACAGAATAGAGAGCCCAGAAACAAACCCATGCTTATATGGTCAATTAATCTATGATAAAGGACACAAGAATATACAATGGGAAAAAGTTAGTCTCTTCAACAAATGGCATTGGGAAAACTGAATGGCTACGTGCAAAAAAATGAAACTGGACCGGGGCGCTTGGGTGGCTTAGTTAGTTGAGCGTCCAACTTCGGCTCATGTCATGATCTCACAGCTTGTGAGTTCAGGCCCCACATTAGGCTCTGTGGTGACAGCTCAGAGCCTGGAGCCTGCCTCAAATTATGTTTCTTCCTCACTCTCTGCCCCTCCCCTGCTCACACCCAGTCTCTCTCTCTCTCAAAAATAAATAAACTTAAGAAAAAAAGAATGAAACTGGGCCACTTTCTTACACTATACACAAAAATGAACCCAAATGGAATAAAGACCTAAATATGAGCCTTGAAACCATAAAACTCCTAGAAGAAAGCACAGACAATCTCTTTGACATCAACCATAGAAACATTTTTCTAGATATGTCTCCTCAAACAAGGGAAATAAAAGCAAAGCTTAACTATTGGGACTACATCAAAATAAAGAGCTTTTGCACAGTGAAGGAAACCATCAACAAAACAAAAAGGCAACTGAATGGGAGAAGATACTTGTAAATGATATATCCAATAAGGGGTTAATATCCAAAATATATAACGAACTTCTTTTTTTTTATTTAAAAAATTTTTAAATGTTTTATTTATTTCTGAGATAGAGAGAGACAGACAGACAGACAGACACAGTGTGAGAATCCAAAACAGGCTCCAGGCTCTGAGCTGGCTGTCAGCAGAGTCCGACACGGGGCTTGAACCCACGAACTGCAAAATCATGACCTGAGTCGAAGCCAGACCCTTAACCAACTGAGCCACCCAGTCGCCCCAGTATATAATGAAATTCTACAACCCAACACCAAAAAATGGTCAGAGGACCTGAATAGATATTTTTCTGAAGAAGGTGTACAGATGGCTAACAGACACATGAAAAGATGTCAACATCAGCAATCAAGGAAATGCAAATCAAAACGACAGTGAGATATTGTCTCAGACCTGTCAGAATGGCTAAAATCAAATACACAAGAAATAACAAGAATTGATGAGCATGTGGAGAAAAAGGAACTTTCATGTACTATTGGTGAGAATGCAAATTGGTGCAGCCATTGTGGAAAACAGTATAGAGGTTTCTTAAAAAAATAGGAATACCATATGATCCAGTCATTTCATTTCTGATAATATTTACCAAAAGAAAATGAAGACACTAATTCAGAAAGCTATCTGCACCCTTGTGTTTATTGCAGCATTATTTACAATAGCCAAGATACAGAAGCAACCCAAGGGTCCATCGATAGATAAATTGATAAAGAAAAAGTGGTGTATAAATACAAGGGAATCTTTTTTTTTTTTTTTTAATATTTTTATTTATTTCTAGGAGAGAGAGAGAGACAGCGTGAGCAGGGGAGGGTCAGAGAGAGAGGGAGACACAGACTCTGAAATAGGCTCCAGGCTCTGAGCTGGCAGTCACCACAGAGCCCGACGCGGGGCTCGAACCCACAAACCGTGAGATTATGACCTAAGCGAAAGTCGGATGCTTAACCGACTAAGCCACCCAGGCGCCCCAAATACAATGGAATCTTATTCAGCCATGAAAAAAGAATGAGATCTTGTCATTTGGAACAACATGGATGAACTTAGAGGGTGTAATGCTAAGTGACATAAGTGAGAGAAAGACAAAAACAATATGATTTCATTTATACACCGAATTTAAGAAACAAAATGTACAAAGAAAAAAAGACCAAAAAACCCCACTCTTAAATATAAAGAACAAACTGATGATTGCCAGGGGGAAGGGGGGTGAGGGAATTGGTGAAATGGGTGATAGGGATTTCAGAGTGCACTTATCACGATGAGCACTAAGTAATGTATAGAATTGTGGAATCATATTATTGTACACCTGAAACTAATATAACATTGTATGTTAATTATACATAACTAAACATGTTGGGAGGGGGGAAAGAAACTTTGCAGATATAATTAACTTAAAGATACTGAAATGGGGAATTTTTTTTGATTTTCCAGGTGGGTCTTAATAAGAGAGAGACAGGTTAGGGGGAAAATATATTAAATTTTTGAATGGACTATAATACTAACAGGACCAAATTTACCTACTACCCACTTGAAATGCAATTGTTTCAAGTAATTACAATAGTATCACAACTGCTAAAATGAATAAACTGTTTTTGGTTAACATTTTATTATTATTTTTTAAAGTTTATTTATTTACTTTGAAAAAGAGAGAAAGGGGCTGAGCGGGAGAGAGAAGGAGGATCCCAAGCAATCTCTACACTGTCAGTACAGAGCCCAATAAGGGGGCTCAAACTCACAAACCATGTGATCACGACCTGAGCCGAAATCAAGAGCTGGCCACTCACCAACTTAACCACCCAGGCACTCTGATATTTTTTTTCCTGGTATATCAATTATTCTGAAGAAACACTTAGTATTTAGCTCTAGAATGATAACTTCTATAAGAATAATATATTAGAGTATAGATTTTGGAATATTTATACAGCTTAT